TACTGCTTTGCAATGCTGGGACTGGGGCTGTCTGCACTGCATTACTGCTTTGCGATGCTGGGACTGGGGCTGTCTGCACTGCATTTCTGCGTTGCCAGCTGACTCCCGTTAGGGGCTGCGAGGCAGACTGAGGCAGAGGAGAACCACGCCTTTCTGTTTTGCTTGCTATACAAGCCAGCGTCGGCTCAGCAGTGGCAATTCACTTCCAGTTGCCAGTGTTTTCCGACACTCCTAGAATCAGCATTACCGCTCTCTTTGGAGGCTCTGCTGGGCAGCGTTCTCTCTGCAGGGGGCTCCTACCCAGCTTGGCGGGGCCCCTTCTCTGAGCTCCCAAGTAGAAGTCCCCCATTGGGCAGTGATGCTTTACCCCAGGCTCTGCTGGGCAGCGTTCTCTCTGCAGGGGGCTCCTACCCAGCTTGGTGGGGCCCCTTCTCTGAGCTCCCAAGTAGAAGTCCCCCATTGGGCAGTGATGCTTTACCCCAGCACCAGGCAGTGTATAGTATATAGCAGGTGCTCATTAAATACTAGTTGAGTGAATGCATGCAAAATAAGTACTTTAATCCTTTCAGTGCTACCATTATGTTCTGTCCCAGTGAGACCACGAATGTCCTTGACCTCATTCTGTGACTATGTACAGACTTGGTAGTCATGACAAGTCCAACAGTGAAACATTCAGATAATCAATTTATGTCTTCTGTCAGCAAAATCTTCTTTCTTGCCAAAGGCACGTGTGTGTGCACACACATGACACATATGCACGAGCCCATATGTGGATGAAGAGAGGAGAAAACATGCCGCAGAGTGTCAGGATAAACATACCTGCATTTCTCAGAAAGCGGTTCCTGTAGTCCTTGACTATCCTCGTGACTGGGTTATAGAAGCCGTCTCCACAATCATAACAACCCTTGGGGATTTTTCTAGGTGGGTCTATATTGGTGAGTTGAGAGATACCTTGAAAGGATGTAGTGGACAATTAGTTCACCACCAAGGCTAAATCCAAACCAGTGCCCCCATAAGGTCTGCTTTTGACTGGTTGCTCATGTGACTGTCTGGCTCCACTGTTGCACTAAACACTGCCTATTCAGGGCAAGAAACAAAAACAGCAGGGACAGTGCCCCAGAAGAGGTCTCTGAAAATGGCTCCATGAGCAGGGTCTTGGGAACTACACCCCCTGTCTTCTTCTCTTGACTCCACTTTCCTCCATTTTTTGGGACACCATGACAAAGGGCACAGGTCCTGGAGTCAGAGAGACCCTGAGGATGAGTCAGGGCTAGCCAGGTGAACAGGAGGGCAGGACCGGAAGAGGAATGACATTCAAAGTGTGGGCAAAGGCCAGAGGCGTGAGCCCCCAGGCCTCCCTCAGGAGACCTTGTGGAGCAGAGCACACATGAGGTAGAACAGTAGGAAAGCATGGGTCAGGTGGACGAGGGTCAGGTAGTGGAGAACCTTGACATTCACCAAAATTACCATAGTGGCCACTATTTATTGAATGTTTATTATGTGCCAGGCATTGTGCTCCTACTATTCCATTTAATCTGCAGAGCAACACTATGGCTCCATTGTATAGATAAGAAAACTGAGGCTCAGAGAGGTCAAACAACTTTCTCGAGGTTATCCAGTAGGAAGCAGCCCAGCTCTGGAGGCTGTGTGTTAAGCTGCTGACACCAGAGGAGGAGCAGGCCTGGACATGGCCCCAGGAATGGGGACACTGAAATCCCCAGGAGGGACAAAAGAGTCAGTGTACCTTTGAGGTCATGCACACTGTGTGTATCTTGAAATGCCGTGGCCTGAGTAAAGGGAAAGTTTGGAATAAATAACTTCTCAGGTTGCTTCTAATTGTATCCTGTAACTCCCTGTTGTCTGGACTAACAGGTGGATGCCCACTGAGCAAAGCACCATGTTCACAGCTCAGTGTCCTGCACACAGTAGGTGCTCTTATGTTGTTGAACAATATACCTAACCCTAACCCTGATGCTGACCCTGACCCTGATCCTAAACCTGTGAATATTGGCTGATTACTAAGCACTTATTCCATGTAAAGCACTTTACAGCCATTCTCTCTCTGAAGCCTCATGCCAATTCCCATCTCACAGATGCTCAGAGAGGTCCAGGGGCACCCTTAACTCTCACCCTGCCATGCAGGCAGGAAGACAGAGCTGCCCTGGTGATGCCTGCCTCTTGAGGCAAAGTGCGTGTGACCCGAGAATCAAGTGGCTACTCAGGTTAAAGCTGCTCTGCTGGGGTTGCTGGAGGAGAAGGGGAGGGCCAGGCAGGTGCAGGGAAGGTCACCAAACTGCCTTGGAGATTGACAGAAGCCCCACTTTGGAAAAACCAGCTGCTATGTGAGAAGAGAGGGCCTGAGGCTCTTTCCCCACAGGACTCAGTTGGGATGAAGAGCCCATGACAAAGTCCAGGCCCTGCCATAACTAACTCAGGAAGAGCAATTTGCAAGGTTCTCAAGTTGCATCTAGACTGGCAGCTCTTTGAAGGCAGAGACTGTGTGTCCACTCAGCTCTGGGTCCCCCTGGGGCCAGCCAGTGTCTGACATAGAGTAGGTGTTTAGGTGATGCCTGTTAATGTCATTGCCTTAACACCCCTCACCCCCCCCACTGTGATGTCAATATTATTATCCCTGTTTGACAGTAACTCTTTTCTGAGCACCTCTCTATGCCAGGCAGTGTGCTAGGTACTGGGGATACAGCAATGAGTAAGACAGAGCCCCTGCCCTCATGGTGCTCATAGCTGGCATGGGAAGATAGAACTGAACATTCATGATCTGAGCTCTGGAGGGGGATCATGGCTGCTCCGTGACATGCCACAGGGAGACCTCACCTAGTCTGGAAGTTCAGGGAAGAGGTCCCAGAAAAAGGACACTAAGCTGAGACCTGCAGGATGGGAAGGAGTTATTTGAGTAAAGTGAGAGGGTTAGAGCATTCCAGGCAGAGGGAATGGCAGGTGGTCTCTTCGAGGAAGAGAGAGAAAGCAAGCGTAGCAAGAGAGGAGAGAGAAAAGCAGAGAAGGGCAGGTAGCCTGGGATGGGGTTGGGGACATCAGTAGGAGCCAGAGAATGTAAGTCGCATTGAGAATTTGGAGCCTTATCTCAAGGGTAGTAGGAGGCACTGAAGGGTATGGGGGATGGCTGGGGGGGATGGTAAGTATAGTCACACTTTTAAAAGATGGAAGTGTGGGTCTCAGGAGGTCAGGTAATTGAGGGGAGAGATGACGGAGGTCTGGAATAGGGAAGTGATAGGATGAAGAGGACACTACCTGGCCATCTCCAGATGTCTCTGCCCAGTCAGCTTCCTAGTCTCAAGTGGAAGCTGACTGGGCAGGGACATTTGGAGATTCAAGGAGACAGTCATTATAGAGGGCGTCACCCAGCACCTGATATGCAGGGCACATGCTTTGCCAGTGGGGATCTTTGCTGGTATCTCTTTCTTTAAAAAATACATAATTTCCGTGTTTCAGTAGGTACTACAAGTAAGAACAGCTGACATGTACTGTGCACCTACCATGCATGCAAGACACTGTTCTAAACACTTTACAGGATTCATTTACAATAATCTTATGAGGTAGATGATGTGAATGTCCCCATTTTGAAGGGGAGAGACTGAGGCAAAGAGGGGTGCAGTCCCTTACCCACAGTCCCCCGACTAGTACAGTGGAGCTGAGAGACGAGGACTGGCCTTTCTGGCTCCAGGACATGGCTCTTTTGTGTTCTGCTGCACCTGCCCAGTCCCTCTTCTCTGTTGAGCTACATCGGTAGGCCTCGGCCCACTTGTTTAAGGCTGTGTTTAGATTCTCTCTCAGTTTGGCTGTGAAGGAAAGGGAGGGTGGCTGGGTACCTGTGGGCTTCAAGCCGAAGCAGATCTCAGTGTAAAACCTCCGATCATAGCTGTCACAGTAGTGCCAGTTCTCACCATCGTACTGCAGCCCATCCGCAAAGGTGTACCTGCCCTGGAATACAAGGAGCACACACACGTCTGAGGAAGCAGAAGCCTTTTTGCTGAGAAGATCGGATGTCATGGGAGAAGGTGGCTTTCTCACTGCCACAGAAAAGAAGTGATAACTATGACAATTATTATGCTTGTGACGATTAGAGGAAATGGATATAAAGCACTGAGATCTTTGCCTGCTGCTCAAAGTATGGTAACTCGCTGTGTGAACTTGGGCTGACAACCTACTCTCTCTGGCCCTCAGTTTCCTCACTTGTAGAATTAGGATAATGACGGCTTATATTCAATAGGGTTGATTGAGGATTCAATGACATAGTACATGCAAAGTATTTAGATGCCTGACTGTATGACTAATTTTATGTGTCAACTTGACTGGGCTAAGGGATGACCTGCTAGCTGATAAAACATTCTTTCTGGGTGTGTCTGTGAGGGTGTTTCTGGGAGATATTAGCATTCACATCTGTAGTCTGAGTAAAGATGGTCTGCCCTTACCATTGTGGGTAGGGTAAAACATTATTTCTGGGTGTGTCTGTGAGGGTGTTTCTGGGGGATATTAGCATTCACATCTGTAGTCTGAGTAAAGATGGTCTGCCCTTACCATTGTGGGTAGGCATCATCCAATCCCTTGAGGGCCTGAACAGAACAAAAAGGCAGAGGAAGGGCCAGTTCACTCTGCCTGAGCTGGGACATCTGTATTTTCCTGCCCTCAGACATCAGCTCTCCTGGCTTTCAGGCCTCTGGACTCTAACTGGAGCTTACACCATTGACTTTGGTTCTCACTCTGCCTGAGCTGGGACATCTGTATTTTCCTGCCCTCAGACATCACCTCTCCTGGCTTTCAGGCCTCTGGACTCTAACTGGAGCTTACACCATTGACTTTGGTTCTCAGGCCTTCAGGTTTGGACTAGAACTAAACCGCTGGCTTTCCTGGGCCTCCAGCTTGCAGAGGGCAGATTGTTCAACTTGTTAGCCTCCATAATCTCATGAGCTAATCCCTCATAATCAATTTCTTTCTCTATATCTATATGAGGGTGCCTCAAAAAGTTCATGGAGAAATGGAATGAAAAGATAATATGAATCTTTGCATGAACTTTTGAAGTACCCTCACATATATCCTATTGGTTCTGTTTCTCTGGAGGACCCTGAATAATACACTGACGTATGGTAAGTACTCAGTTATCAGAGCTGGAAAGATCAGAGCTATCAGTCATGGCCCTTTGTCCAAACACATACATTCTGCTTTTGCTGTCTTAGTGCTAAAGGAAGCCTCGGGATGTAGAAGTTGCATTGGCTTGGGCATCAGGAAACATGGGTGGAAATTCCAAGAATACTACTAATTCACAGTGTGGCCTTGGGTAAGTCACATCCCCTTCCTGGGGCTTAGATTCTCTGGGCTGTGAAACCAGGAGTGTTTGTTAACCTTTTTTAGGTATGAGTCAGGCCTCAGCACACCCTTAGTGAAACTGATGAAAGCTATAGATTGTTTTCCCAGAGAAAAACAGTCTCATATACACAGAAACTTTTGTATGTAAATCATGAGGTTTCGCTGACCCCCTAAATTCTATTCATGGCCCACAAATCCCAGGTGAGAAACCCTTGGATTAGATAATTTATAATGATAGTAGCAGTTGTGGCGGCAGTGATAGTAAAAGCTAACATTTATTGAGGGCCTACTGTGTGCCCAGAACTTACCAAAAGTGCTTAAATCTACTGTTTCATTTGCTCTCACAAACATCCTAGGAGGTGCCTGATGCTATTTCGGTAGGCTCCATAATGGTCCTGCAAAGATGCTCATGTCTGCTGGAACCTGTGAATATGTTACCTTACGTGGCAAAAAGGGCTTTGCAGATGCAATTAAATTAAGGATCTTGAAGTGGGGAGATGATCCTGGACTATCTAGGTGTGCTCCATGCCATCACAAGGGTCCCCATAAGAGGGGGATAGGAAGGTCAGGGTGAGAGAACACAGGGTGATGAGAAATGCAGAGGGAGGGAAAGTTATGTGATGATGAAAGCAGAGGTCGGAGTGATGCGTGGCCACGTGCCAAGGGAGGAGGGCAGCTTCTAGAAGCTGGAAAAGGCAAGGAAACAGGTTCTCCCATAGAGGCCCCAGGAGGAATGCAGCCCTGCTGACCCATTTTAAAACTTCTGAAACCCAGGACTGTAAGATAATAAATTTGTGTTAATTTAAGACACTAAAAATTTATGGTAATTTCTTGGGGCAGCGATAAGTAATACAACTTGTATTGTCCCCAGTTCATAGATGGGGAACTTGAGTCTCAGAGAGGTAAAGTCATGGGCCCAAGGTCAGAAAGTAAGTGGTATAACTGATTCAAACTCATCATGGCCTCTCTAGGGGNATCATCCAATCCCTTGAGGGCCTGAACAGAACAAAAAGGCAGAGGAAGGGCCAGTTCACTCTGCCTGAGCTGGGACATCTGTATTTTCCTGCCCTCAGACATCAGCTCTCCTGGCTTTCAGGCCTCTGGACTCTAACTGGAGCTTACACCATTGACTTTGGTTCTCAGGCCTTCAGGTTTGGACTAGAACTAAACCGCTGGCTTTCCTGGGCCTCCAGCTTGCAGAGGGCAGATTGTTCAACTTGTTAGCCTCCATAATCTCATGAGCTAATCCCTCATAATCAATTTCTTTCTCTATATCTATATGAGGGTGCCTCAAAAAGTTCATGGAGAAATGGAATGAAAAGATAATATGAATCTTTGCATGAACTTTTGAAGTACCCTCACATATATCCTATTGGTTCTGTTTCTCTGGAGGACCCTGAATAATACACTGACGTATGGTAAGTACTCAGTTATCAGAGCTGGAAAGATCAGAGCTATCAGTCATGGCCCTTTGTCCAAACACATACATTCTGCTTTTGCTGTCTTAGTGCTAAAGGAAGCCTCGGGATGTAGAAGTTGCATTGGCTTGGGCATCAGGAAACATGGGTGGAAATTCCAAGAATACTACTAATTCACAGTGTGGCCTTGGGTAAGTCACATCCCCTTCCTGGGGCTTAGATTCTCTGGGCTGTGAAACCAGGAGTGTTTGTTAACCTTTTTTAGGTATGAGTCAGGCCTCAGCACACCCTTAGTGAAACTGATGAAAGCTATAGATTGTTTTCCCAGAGAAAAACAGTCTCATATACACAGAAACTTTTGTATGTAAATCATGAGGTTTCGCTGACCCCCTAAATTCTATTCATGGCCCACAAATCCCAGGTGAGAAACCCTTGGATTAGATAATTTATAATGATAGTAGCAGTTGTGGCGGCAGTGATAGTAAAAGCTAACATTTATTGAGGGCCTACTGTGTGCCCAGAACTTACCAAAAGTGCTTAAATCTACTGTCTCATTTGCTCTCACAAACATCCTAGGAGGTGCCTGATGCTATTTCGGTAGGCTCCATAATGGTCCTGCAAAGATGCTCATGTCTGCTGGAACCTGTGAATATGTTACCTTACGTGGCAAAAAGGGCTTTGCAGATGCAATTAAATTAAGGATCTTGAAGTGGGGAGATGATCCTGGACTATCTAGGTGTGCTCCATGCCATCACAAGGGTCCCCATAAGAGGGGGATAGGAAGGTCAGGGTGAGAGAACACAGGGTGATGAGAAATGCAGAGGGAGGGAAAGTTATGTGATGATGAAAGCAGAGGTCGGAGTGATGCGTGGCCACGTGCCAAGGGAGGAGGGCAGCTTCTAGAAGCTGGAAAAGGCAAGGAAACAGGTTCTCCCATAGAGGCCCCAGGAGGAATGCAGCCCTGCTGACCCATTTTAAAACTTCTGAAACCCAGGACTGTAAGATAATAAATTTGTGTTAATTTAAGACACTAAAAATTTATGGTAATTTCTTGGGGCAGCGATAAGTAATACAACTTGTATTGTCCCCAGTTCATAGATGGGGAACTTGAGTCTCAGAGAGGTAAAGTCATGGGCCCAAGGTCAGAAAGTAAGTGGTATAACTGATTCAAACTCATCATGGCCTCTCTAGGGGCCCTTCCAGATCCAGAGGGAGAAGATTCTAGAGCCCTGGGAGATCAAGAAGCGGGGAGAAGAGGGACTAGAAGGAGGCGGGCACCGGTCAGGGAGGTCAGGGTGCCAGAGCAGTGGGGGCTCTTCCTGCCCGAGGATCTCCCCTCCGCAGCCCCACCTGATCACCTTCACAACTAGTCCCTTTTCCCAAATGGCGTCGTATCGGCTCCCGTTGGGGAAGTACAGGGTTCCTTGGCCATGAAACATGCCGTCCTTCATTTCCCCAACATATCTTGTTTCAGTCGGGAGGATGTATTCGGCTTTGCCCTCCATCCTGTAAGGACATAGGGAGATCACTGAGCCCTGCATGGCGACTGGAGGATCAGAGCTGGCAGGTGAGAGAGAGTGAGCAGAAGCCTCATCCTCAGAGTCCTCAGACGTTAGCGTCCCAGCAATATTCTGTTCAAAAACAAAAGTTTATTTCATTTCCCTCAAAAGGCCAAAAATGAGAGGGGCTGTGTTGTTCAAGGGGATGGGCGAGTTTGGCCTGTCCATCTTCTCTCTTACCTAGAGGCTGCCCTGGAGTTCACGCTGCCCATTGACAATACCCATTTGGTAGGCCCAGAGAGGGTCGGGATGTACCCAAAGCCACACAGTAAATAATGTGACGCAGAGACTAGGGCTCAGGTTTTCTGGCAGCTGGTTCTACATCTTCCCTGACTCCCAGTGACCAGCCCGCCCCTGCCCATTACACCACAAGTGAAATATTTGAAAAAGTATGACATTTAGAGACAGGAGAGGTGGGTATGATTCTTCATTGTTTTCTAGGTGTATCATCTTGGAGACTTTCCTAAACCTTTCTGTTTGTCTTTCTTCTTCCCTCTCTCCCTTCCTTCCTTCCAACAATTATTTACAGAGCACCTACTGTGTGTCAGATGCTGTGCTGCGAATCTGATCTGCTGGATATAACACAGATACAGCAGTGATCAAGGCCGATGTCGTCTGTCCTCAGGGGACTCACAGTCCAGTTGGGGACACAATTAAGCAATTACACAATGCATGGTAAGTGCCATGCAGGGGAAGACAGGACAGTACAGGAGCACAGGGCAGGAATGCCACTTGACCAGTTCACCAGCTTTTTCATGGGTGAAATGGCTGAGATTAATACTGAGATTAACCCAGGTAATGTGTAATGGTTTTCCTAGAAAAGGGCCTGACATACAGCAAGTGCTTAAGAAATATGCTTTCATTCCTTCTCTGTTCCTCTCCGCTAGCTGAAGTCACCTCTCTCAACTCTGACCTTCCTTAGGCTTCTGTTAGCACCTCTGCTGGGATGTTTAGCCCTTTCTGCCCTGCACGGTAATGGTATCCCTCATCTCCTGTACATAATTAAAGCTTCTTAAGATGAAGAGATTGGTGTCTTCAGGTTTTAGAACCACACTTTCTTCTTAAATAGTTGCTCCATAAACATCTACTGAGCAAGAAATGGAGGAAATGGCAGGCAAGGCCAGTGAGTGAGTGACAGGAGGTGCCCCTGGGCCGCGGGCCCCATGCAGGAGAGCGCTTTGGTTAAGGCCCAGCTTCTGAGCCATGTAGACCTGGAGTCCAGGCTGGCTCCACCTCTCTGTG